CTGTGGGACCTGAGACACTAATTCACACACCTTGACTATGCCTTGTTCAGCACTGGCTATATCCCTCCCATATGGTAAAAGCACGCTGAGTTTTAAAAGGCTTCTGCTATTTATTTATTTCTTCTTTCACTGGAAGTTCTGTAATTCATTTTATCTGCCCTGGAATAGTGCCAGGAAGATAATTTCTCTGCTGAATTAATTTTTTTTTATTGAAGCATTTCAAAGCATGTGATTATAAGAATGTGCATCACACGTTGCTTACACATTAGATACTCTGAACGGCAATTCACATCTAGAACAGCATGTCTGCCACTGAATGCTAAAATAATATTTTAATAAATGTGTTTTTATATAATGTATCTGTATAAATATATATTTTAATAAATACATTTTAAATAATATATTTTTAAAAATATATAATTATTCAAGGTGTTAAGACAGAAGGGCAACCTTGGAGAAGAATTTTCAACCACTCCACAGGGCAGTTTAACTGCCAGATTTCATTACAGATCTTGCTAGATAATACCACTTAATGAAGTCTTGTCACTTATTTTTCTTTCTTTCTTCTGTATTATTTCTTTTTTATCCCTCCAATGTATGCATTGGAGAAATACCACTGGCAAAGCATCCCATCTGTGCCTTAATTCAAGCAATAGTATTCAGCTACTTAACATCTTCCTAGATTTAGTTTTCATTTGTTTGTCAGTTCCTTGTCACATTGTTTAAAAATATTTATCACCTTTTTTAAAAGAAGGAAACTGAAAGTATTACAGGAATAAAATTACGTTAACAGAAACAATGCCTCAAAACTGGAAGACTTCTGTGTAGAATTTCATGTATCTGTAGTTATAATTGTCAGTTTATTGGAATGATGACAGATTTTAGGCTGTGCCTTAACAGCATACTTACATGAAATTCCTGTCAGGTGGTACAGTGCATTTTAAAATGAGGTAAAAATGATTATCTCCCATTCTGGAGGCACAAACACTGAATTGCAGCAAAGCTCATCAAGTTAGGTTAAGAATGTAGTAGCAAACCAGAACCTGTCTCTTCTGAGTCCCAGATTAAAGCAAAGTCACTATTTCCAGGCAGTCGCTACTTCTTTGCTTCAGTACACAGCTCTTGTCTAGTCATTATTTCCCTCTCACTTTCCAAAATCTACCATTTGTTGGCAACACATGGAGAATAATTGGGTGAGGGTGTGAATATCCTTGCTGCATGTTAATCACCGTTCTTAAATAGAAAATTGCTGTATTGTCAGTGACCTTTCTTTATGATGAACTCATAAGCAACCCTGTTTTGTCCTTTTCTTGGTTACTTATATGGAGATCTGTACAAATATTTTGTTACTGGGCTTTTGTATGCAGTCTTAAGGGTTAAAAATGTCCCACAGAGCAAATAAAGATATACTGATTTGCATTAATTTTGACAAATTGGTAGGGAGAAGCTAGAGAATTCAGTCATTAGAAAAGTTTTGCTCTTCCTGTGTTTACCTTGACACTTTTTATTTTGGCTGGCAGATACGACCAATTTCTTGAGTTTTGTTAAAGAAAAGTTTATGCATTAAACTTAATACCATGAGGGACTAAAACTGAACCGTTCGCATGAAGCCATTAAAATCCATCTGGAGGATTCCTCTTAGAGTTACCCCTCACCTTCCAAACCCTTAACACTGGATAGGTTACTGCTACCTGAAAGAAATCTGAACTTCATCTTGAAAGTGTTATACCAGAGATCCTGTGACATTTAATTTCCTCTCCAGATTTTCATTAGTCCTACAAAGCTTGAGCCTCATTTCCAGTTCTGATACTTTGGACTTCAGCTTTCAGCCTCCTGCTACTTAGTATTCTCCAATCATTTTTCACAATGACCACATTTCCATCTTCTTGTCTGAGTGAGCAGAAAGGACAAGAGAGAGATCTTTTAGGAACAGAACTTTTGGGTGACATGATCTGAGGCACTGAGAGGGGTTTGGAAGCCTTCAATAAGGATGCACATGGAGGTGGGGATGCTGGCTGTTCATCCATTGCTGCCCCTTGCTGCCAAGGGATGAGGCAGGATCCTGGAAAGGGTTCAGGAATCTCTTCCCTGAACAGTGTGTGGAGCTGAGTGTGATATCATGGTTTTCATATGAAAGGCCTTTTTGTTTTCTGATTAGCTGATATCACAGAGAGCCTCAGGTTAGCTTTAATCATGATAGGCAGGAGTGAAGCAACTGGCATTATCAACTATCCTATCTTGCATAGCTCTCTCTTTTTCCCAGCTGAATAAAAATATTTTAATCGGCCAAAGCTGCCTCTTTGACTGACACAAAGGGATTTATTCCTTCTTTTTGTGTGCATCAGTTTGTGCCTGTGCATGTGTGTATTTCTTACCTCATTTCTATGTATTATACAATGGTTGTTAGAAGCCCATTGGAGAGCCAAAGCTGTCAGGTGTACTAAGAAGGCCTAAGTACGCACCAGAAGAATATTTTCTGTATTTTAAAAACCAGCTCTAAATGCCTGTTGGTGCTAGTAATAATGTGGATGCCTGGACATGAAAGCTGACAAGGGTTTCTCCCTTGACTTGTGTAAGCATAAACATGGGAGCCTGGCACGGTTTTCTGCTACTCACCTGCGACGTGGAATTTGACAACCCCTTGAAAAAATGGGAAGGGAATGAGTTACAAAATCATAGAAGACAGACTCACAGAATAGCTTTGTTTAGAAGGGACCTTAAGATTATCCCGTCCCAACCCCCTGCCATGTGCAGGGCTGCCACCCACCAGCTCAGGCTGCCCATGGCCCCATCCAGCCAGGCTTTGAACGCCTCCAGGGATGGGGCAGCCACAGCTTTTCTGGCAGCCTGTGCCAGTGCCTCACTGCCCTGAGTGAAAATTTCCCTCCTAACCCCTAACTTAAATTTCCCCTCTTTTAGTTTAAAGCCATTCCTTCCTTGTCTTATCACTATCAGAATGTGTAAATAATCGGTCCCTCCCCTGCTTGTAAGCTCCCTTCAAGTACTAGAAGAGGGGAATTTTTTTTACTAAGGGAGCAGTGATGTTCTGGAATAGGTTGCCCAGAAAGGCTGTGAATGCCCCATCTCTGGAGGTGTTTAAGGCCAGTTTGGATGGTGCTCTGTGCAATCTGAAATAGTACTTGATCTAGCAGCTGGCAACCATACCTCTGGCAGGAGGGTTGAAATGTAATGATTCTTTTGGTCCTTTCCAGCCCAAGCCAATTTATGATTCTACAGTTCTGTGTCTGGAAGGCTGCAGTGAGGTCTCCCTGGAGCATTCTGGGAATGGAGCAATCCCAGTCTGCATTGCCAATGCTTTGCTCTGTACCTTCTCATTTCTTCAAGGAGGGGAAATGCTAGGTCTTGCTATCTAAACTACAAAATGACATTGGTAAAATCCTGTTTATCCTCTCCATTTCCGGACATTCGTAACTGCAGATTTCTCTGCCTGATCTTGTCAAGTTTTCTGTTTTATTTTTTTATTTGTCTGTTTGGTTGGGGTTTTTTTGGTTTTTTTTTTTTTTTTTTTTGGTGAAGCTCAGTAGCTGGGAAATTCTAGGAGGGCAGTGGAATGGTGACACTTGAATGTTACTGGAATTTATTGCATATTGCTGATTGCGCTGTGTCCAGTAAACCAGATAATGTTCCATGAAATATGCAAAAGAAAGGTAGAAGCTGATTGCCTTCCTTGAATAACAGTGGTGTAAGCATATCATGCTCCAGAGGCAGCAATTGCAGCATGTCTATCTCTTACGTTAGGCAGTGTGCAATATGCAATTCATATAAGCAAAGCCCTTTCTGTCCATAGGATTTCTGCAGAGATACATAAGGCTGTGGTAAGACGAGCAGCATCTCTCAGAACAGTATTTCATTGGTGGCATCTGTCTCACACTTAGTGATGCCTGCTATAATTTGTATGGAAGATCCTAAATTTAATCAGTGCAGATCTCCTAAAATAACCTGGCAGATTTTAGTAGGCAAACTGCTGCCCTAACAAGATATAACAACATAGGGTCAGATTACTGATCAAATGTAGTATGTTTGACATGTAGAGATGAATATATTAAAACTTAAAAGATATTAGTCAAAAAGATAAAGTTTATTTTCTTCAAAATAAAGAGCAGATGAAATTAAGTCATTTTAATGAAAGATATAAAGGACTGAGTTTTATTCTTATCTCTAAGACTTCAAGCAATTCAGTAACCTTACATTGGTGATCTCTCCCTGCTTACGGTCTCTCCAAACACTTCAGGAATAGCCAAGACAAGACAACTACTTTGGATGATTTCTCAAGCAAACATGATTCAGAACATTCCCTGAGTATGCTGAAATGGGCAAACAATGCATCCCCTCTGATTTGGGTACTGCTGGAGAAAGGCTTTGCAGCACTATTTGGCCATAGGAGCTCTCCGAGTCCCTGGGAACTGAATGTGTTCAGAAGGCTGAGCTGGAGGCAAGCCAACAAGACTAGTACCTTTGTGCCTTTGGTATAGCCTTCCTCCTTGAGTAAGAAAAGGGCCTTTATTTTCTTAACGAATATTTTGAACTTGTAGCAATGCACACAATTGGCACAATCATTGGTGCTGAGAGCAGTGTAATGCGCGGGAACTTGGAGACCCACAGGTTAGTGTGCACACAACCACCAGGAGCAGGGAAGAGGGCATGGACAATTCTAGATGGAGGAAGTGTGAGTTACTATCTCAACTGTAACTAACTCACACTCGTCAAGCTTCAGTGAGCATTCCCTGCTTTTACAGAGTTTGCAGGATGGTGCTGTTAATTCTTCTTGGTTAAGAAAATATTCCCATTCTGTCAATGCTCAGGTTTCTCCACCCTGGGCTGATTGACAGAATGGGTACTTTATCAGCTTATTTCATAACGCCACAAAGCAAAGATAATAGAATCGCAGAATGGCCTGGGTTGAAAAGGAACCTTAAAGATCATCTATTTTCAACCCCCCTGCCATGGGCAGGGTTGCCAACCACTAGATCAGGCTGCCCAGAGCCACATCCAGCCTGGCCTTGAATGCCTCCAGGGATGGGGCATAAAGATGTCTACAGTGCTTTGTGATCAGATGGCATTTGTGCTTTGGAAAGTCATATTGCTGTCTCAGAGGACCTTCAACAAATCCATCCCTAGACACTGAGAAACAGAGATAAATAAAGCACTATATAACGGGCATTCTTCTAAGCTGTGCCTTGCCCATCTTTGGCAACAAATATGCAAGTGACTCAGAAAATAAGATGTAACAAAAAGCAGCCTTTGGTGTGGCACTGACAGGCTGCATTTGTTGCTTCCTGGAAATATCATGACTGATTGTAATGCATGATCAGATAATCAGTTTAATCAAAGCTGGAATCTCCCATAACGATTTAAGACAATAAAAAACTCTGCCAAGTGAATAACTTTCCCTCTCTTAAACAACTTGCTCATCAAAATTCTTTCTCAACCTTCTGTTTTTAAATATTGAAACCGCAGATTCTGAAAAATTTCATGCAAGTTCTTGCTGGGGTGTTTCTTTCTGATGCAAATTTGACTAGGACATTTATTTGTATGTTGGAAAACTTTTTTAATACTCGCTTAAAATATTTTGCACAAACATTTAATAACAGAACTTTTCTTGATTTGTTCTTTACCAATGACATGACAATGGCATATGCAATATAAATATAAGGCATGGCAATGGATCAAAGACAATTTACTGTTCTGTGAATTGCACTACAGATTGAAAACACTGAGTTATACAAGCTGTCACTTAAATGTCTTTACAGGAATCTTGAATTTATAACAGGTCTTGTTACAGTCATCCAATCCATTAAAAAGAAGTCTTTAAAAGTAGCACATAGTTACCTAAAGTGGACACTGATACAGGTAATAGTCAGGTTGTTTGTGGTGTGGCTGCTAAAAGGATTAACTTGTTCATCACTGGCTGCAAGATCTATTTAGTCATTACAGCTATAGTATCTCTTCATACAGATTTACTCAAAGGATCATAGTGTAATAACTCTTAAAATGTCTCAAGGTGGAACAAACAGCAGCCTTGATATTGTACTACATATTCAATACGAGATGTTGCTCAGAATTTTTCAGGACATTGGAAACTTCCAGTCCAAATAGGAACAGTGATAATTTTTCAGGTCTCATAGGGAAGATTTTAGTACAATACTGTGTTTGCTGCATGGATGTAGCTGCAAAGCTTCCCAGAAAAAGACAGGATGTACCAGTGTGTGCAGGTAGGCAGAGAGTAAGCCAAGAGCAACAAGAGCTACTGGGCAGGAGTGTGTGGCTTCCACTGGTTTCCACTGACAGAATTTGGTGTGTCTCTAGTTTGCTGATCTCAGCCATATGCCACCTAGGGATATGGTTGAGGTGGATAGCAGCAGGTAGGTAGAAAAGCAGTAAGGCCTGATTACAGAAATGCATCCTCCACTTACAAAACTGTGCATTCACACAACAGGCTTCTGCAGATGGTATCATTGTCTGGGCACACTAACCTTCTTTCTGGTTACAAATAATGTTAGTTGAAGTAGGAAATTTTCTATGGTCCGCACTGTCACATTCTGAAGACTTATAGCAGGCATGTAGTCTAGCTGGCTGTTCAGTTTGCATTTAACTCAATGACTGCGTAAAGCTTCTCCTAAACAGATATGAAGAAGGATAGCTTACCATGGAAGTGATATGCCTTAACTAAGAGAGTGTCTGTAAAATTTTCTTTTTTTTTTTTTTTTTTTACTTACAAGCAAGGCAGTAACTGATGAACAGATTTGGACTGACATCAACCAGAGTCCTTCCATACAGGAAGAAAAGAAATCATTTTCTGCAAGTTCAGTAGCTTCTGGTCTTTCTAAAGTGCTCCGTATCTGTTTTGCATGCTGACAACAAGGTATAAAATACTGAATACTTCAAACAGCTTTGACACTTTATCAGAAAGGGGGGATCACAACCATTCTGCACTGGGAAACAAACTAGCATCCTTCAATTGCAATCCCTCTGCTAATAGAAGGACTAAATACAGTGCTGTCTGCTAATTCTGCTTATTATCGGGCCACCACTGTCAAGGCATCAGCAAGCAACAATCTTCAGAGAATTGGACAGCAGACAGCAGGAAGTCTTGGTTTTCAATCAAAAACTCCATTGTAAGCTTGCTTCTCCATGAGACTTTACAGCCCAACATTTACAGATGCACCCTCTAGGGCAAACTAGAGCCAGAGCTGTAATGAAATTATTATCCTTCACCCAAGGAAACCATAGATGAAACCATAGAAATCAGTATAATTGACAGAATTTCTCAAGCCAGTTAAAAAATGATGGTGGGGTGGGACCTGAAAGAAGCAGTTCTTTGTAGAGTATAGGTGTAAGGATTAGGCTAACCTTTTTCCATGGTGTGGCTTAATGAAACTATTGCTGAGCATGTGCTGTCCTATACACTTACTTGAAGAACTGACAGGAAAACTGGGGACTGATGACCTAACTCCTCATTTTGAAACACAGTTGGTGACAATGAAACATTTGAGGCTGAAAGCCGACGACTGAAAAGCGTTTTTTTTCTTCCAGGAACTTCTTTACACAGCTTCAGTGAACAAGCTTTAAGCTTCATCTGAATATACAAGCTGTGTGAATGAGTTGCCACTTTGGCCTCCGTTCAGGCTGGGGACTAAGTGGGAAATGAATGAAAGCATCAACTAATGCCAGTGGAAGCTCTGATCCTGCAATCACCACAGCTGAGTGTATATGTGGTCTTCTCCATTTAATGGGAATGAGAAACAGCCTGCTGTTTTTAAGTGGCTGTCCAGGATTGTGACCTGAGGTGTACTGAATATGAGCACCAGCACGTGAACAGTACTGCACTGTGCAAATGTCCAGGAACGACTGAAAAACCACCAACCCCTTCTTCAACTGTCTAAGTAAAAATGTATTTATGCATGCAACTTTTTCGTTAAGCTTGCAAGAGAAAAGCTCTCCTGGGTGGAAGAAAGCCAGCACCATTGCTCAACAGGGTGCAGACATAGCTGTACTGCTAGTACACAAAAGGTGTCCTCCACAGAAACCATTTCTGATTACATCAATTTCATTGTCAATTCCATCACTTAAATCCACACACACATACACACACACACACAAAGTTAAACATCTCTACCCTTCCAGTTTGTTTCAATGACTTGCATATAGAATCTATATCATAAAGCTACCTGTGCCCTTCAACAGAGATATTTTACATATAGATTATCAACATGTTTTTCCAGACCAAAGGAACAAGAAGTTAGGTTAATTTAATAGAAAAAATAAAATATGGAATAACATTGATTTTGGCCAGTATCAATTACAACATAACTACCCTATTTTACAAATAACAACTGAACATTTTACACATGTACAGTATTTTTTCACTAAAAATGAATTTGGATTAACAACGTGTCAGGTTTTTTTTTTTTGTTTTTGTTTTTTTTTTTTTTAAAGAAAACAAAGATATTAAGTTTTTCTCTATAATAGTGTTAGAGGCATTTGTAAGTACCCAAACAAACTCTTTACAATCTATTACATAATTAAATCTCAATTATGAATATATATTTATATAATATATATATAATATTAACTTAAACTTTGAAAGCATTATGTTCTAGTTAAAATTGTTATATTGAGAAATGAGGCAGAAACAGACTAGTAGTTAAACTAGCACAAATTAAATTCTCATAACTTTTCATGTTTAGCAAGAAATCTGTAATGGGCACCAGAGGAGCTTCACAGGCCTCGTCTACAGAACCAGACATGGGTTGTAATATCTATCTGCTCTCTAGCAAAGTGGGCATAGGTCATATTATTAATTCATTTGCAAAATTTCAACGATAATTTTTGTATTTAAAAAGGAGGTTCTCTTTGTTTTCTAACATTTACATGCTTAAACACCTGCAATACATTTTCTGCTTGTGTGTCCTAGAGCAATAACAGAGTGACTTTGCACGTTTTAAGAATTTTTCCCACAAAACTTCTTTGTAGTTCAGTTTACTGTTTTCTGCTAAAATTAATGGTTTCCAAACAGCATGCTAGGTGAAACTGATGAATATATATCAAACAACTGTGTACCTGGGTATAGAGACAAGACAGAGACCTGCCTCTCTCACCACTCCAGGGTGGTTTTGCAGTGAGGTAACTTCATAGGCCTCAACAGCATTGTTCCTGCTGAAACTTGTATTAGGAGCAGTTAAAAGCAGATTCAGGCCCATCAAGACAAGATTGTTATATCAAGAAAACAGTTGATTTATTGCCCTATATGTTAATACTCCTGGAGATGTATTTGGCACAGTGTTACAAGCTCAATTATAAATCCAGTCCTGTAAACACATTCTGTCACATACAGTCACACTGGCATTTCTGTATGGGCACTATAAAATATCCCCACATACTTGCATGATAATATCCCCTTTTTGGTGAACGTTACAAGACAACAATAATTTATGAATACTCCTTACATGTTAGCAACTTTTCAATTTCCACGTATACATTACTCTTGCTTATGCAAACCAAGAGTAGTATCTTCTAAACTTGTTCACAACAGGAACAATGTTTTTGTGTTTTTTTTTTTTTAATTTTTTTCAGTTTATTTGAAATAGCTTTTACAATTTAAAAAAATAAAATAAAAATCCTAGCGTATCTGTTAATAAGCTAGCTGTCTAAAAATGAGATCTATATGACAAAAAAAAAAACACTTTGGGCAAAACATATATACACACTGCATGTGATACAAAAAAACAGCACACAGCAGAGGAAGTAGGAAAGAATTGTGTGCAGAAATGATCATTTTTCTTTTTTAAATACTGGTACAAAAAGGACAGAACTTGGTCCTGCAGATGACAATGTTTCTGATTCCCTTAGGGACTCATTTCCTGAAGTTCCCCATCAATTCACAAAAAAGACTAATGCAAACTTTTTTGTATTGTTTAGTTTTAATCCATGTAAACGTGTGTGTATTCTTGAAACACTCTTTGAATATCCTGAGGGGGAAACAAACAGGAAAAAAAGGGAAAGATAAAGACCTTCAAAAAACAGAAATAATCCTAAAGTTGACAGGAAATCAAATCATGAATTAAACGTTAATTTTGGCATCAAATGCTTTGGTCACACAATACTGACTCTGTGATTCTGGATGCTCAGCTCTAAACACCCAGTTATGAAAGGTAGGCGTGTTGTAGGTTTTCCATCTAAGTTCCAACAAACAGTTCACCATCTCCCCAGACAAACAGGGGGGAGAGAGAGAGAGGTGGCTTTTTTTTTTTTCCTTTTCAATAATACGTGTTAATCTATAAGTCTACAGGAGCAGGAGGACTCTGGGAGGTGTGAGTTCACCCCTTGTGCGTACATGTTCTGCAACACAGTTGCTGGAGCACTTTCCGCTGGCAGAGATTGTTCTTTTTCACCAGCATACAGAATCCTCCCTCGGCCCAGGACTCTTCCGTGGCTTCCGGAGGGCAGCAGCAAGAGAAGAAGGGGAAGTTGAAGGTTTGGAGAGCATGGTTTTTACCATGGAGGGAGGTTTAATTGGTCAGATAGGTAGATTTGGTTGAAGAGACCATTCAGGAGCAGGTAGCAAGTAGGAAATTTGGTCCATCAGAAGGAATTTCAGTCAACAGCATTTTATTTTTCAGGAAGAGATTTTGTGTGGTCCGACAGGGAATGATTGGTATCCATTTGTGAAAAAGAAAAAAAGATTAGAAAGAGAATAATTAGAAAACAGTGATACTTACAGCAAAGGAATTTGTTCTTGATTTTCATGAATCAAAAGAATAAAATAGACAAACCATGAAAAAGGAATAAACATTCTCAACAGATATTCAAATCCTACATAGTAACACATACCCAGTGTTTGACTGTCAGGTGGTGGAATGAGAGCCTCCACACTCGGTAACTTAACAGAGGAAAGACTTCTGTCCCTTCCTTGGCTAACCTACACTGTTGAGGGAACATGCCATGCAGTAGGATCCCATTGCATGCCACTGCAATTGCCTCATGGCCCATGTGCTGCTCTGCAACTGCGCTCTCAAAAACAGGGCAGATGAGACAGAGGAGAAGTGTCCTCAGTTCTGGGCAACTGCATGTATACCTAGATGAAGCTGCGTGTGGACAACTAATCAGCCCTACCATAATGAAGACCAAACTGATGTATACATATAGGCATGTAAGATTGTATTTTATAGTGGGAATCTTTCATACTGCTTAATCCAGGGCTTTATTTCAGTATGATCTTCCTCTTGGACAGCAATTCTTGAGCTGTTATCTACAAGTAATTAACATAGTAACATTTTCATAGAAGAGTAACATTATCTCAAAGTCTTTGTAATTGAGATTCGTGAAAGGAATGAATATTAGTGAATAATTAAGCCAATCATATGCAATATGAATGATATCTTTGTTGACTCAGAGTACCTGGAGGAAGTTTAAATCTCCATAACAAATTGAGTGCCCTCTATTCTTTTCTTTCCTCATTACCTTCTCACAGAATTCAAGTAATACTGCAATTACTGAACATCTTTTTTACTTACCAGCATTTCCACAGTTTAAAGTGGTGAAACACATACACGCAATTCTAGTGACAATACACTAGGGTCCTCTTATAAAAATCTTTTCAAAGCAATGGTTTTTGAAAAACAGGTAAGGAAGCAAAAGTAGGATGCTGCAGGTAGGGGGGAAACTATTTTAGGAAAATTCAGTTGTATATGTGACTAATTCCATTAATACACTACTTGTGTCGTTTTCTCCTTTTCATAAATCTGAAAAAGGTACGAAGTAATGTAGCCCTAAAATAGAGAATATAACAAAAGAAAAGAAACCAAACCAAACTAATACATGTAAGAAAAACTGCCAGAAGGGGTAAAAAAGATCTCTTCAGGAAACTGCACTCACCATCCTTGCAGACTGTTCCCACTACGCAGACACCAGAGTCTAGGTTATAACCACTTGGGCAGATGGTACAGTTTCTGTCTCCTTGACCACTGCAATCCAAACAGCTGGCATCACATCTGAAAGACAGTGGTTGGGTTTGGCCTTATGGCCTCACTAAATGCGAGAGCACCCAGGAGAAACCTTCTGAATTGTAAAGGGCTTGTTTGCTGTTTCCAGAGGTATCAGCTCCTCTAGCAATGACAATAATTTAAACCGTAACCTCCCCTACAACTCAGTCCTGCTTTTTTTCCTCCGATCACTCTTTGCGAATATATTTTTTTAGTAAATAACTGCATATACATAGTTCTTTGGAACTACATAGAAGTAATAAACAAGTATTAAACAGACAGTGCATCCATGTGCCATTAAGGGATGGGCTCAAAGCCATGTGATGGAAAAGACTGACCTGTGCCTGGTGATTTCATCACCTTTCTGACTTCACTAGATTTCGATTGTATATTCATCTATTTTATTTTATTTCATTTCATTTATTCATTTATTCATTGAGTGGAAAACTGGAAAACCGTAACACATTGCAAGTTGGGGCTGTTCAGCCTGGAGAAGGCTCTGGGATGACCTGATATTGGCCTTTCAATATCTTAAGGAGAATTGTAACAATGAAGAAAACAGACTTTTGAGTAGTGCCTGCTGTGAAAGGATGAGGGAAAATAGTTTCAAGCTAAAAGAGGGGAGATTTAGATTGGATATAAGGAAAAAGTTTCTTTATTATAAGAGCGGTGAGGCACCTGTGCAGACTGCCCAGAGAAGTAGTGGATACTCCAGCCTTGAAGACATTCCAGGTCAGGCTGGATGGGGCTCTGAGCAATCTGACTGAGCTGTAGGTGCCCCTGTTCACTGTCAGTGAGTTGGATTAGATTACCTTCAGAGGTTCCTTCCAACTCAAATGACTCTTTGATTCTGTGATTCCCTTCCTGCCCTGAATTCAGCATGAGTCAATAATGAATTATTCCAATGGGCAAGTGGTATTTATTTAACAAAGGAAGGAATAAAAAAATACTTCCCTCCTTTGCTCAGCACAGTCTTTTTGAGGGCTCATTCACCCACTGGTACATGCAGATGAGCTATGCTGGACAGCAAATCTTGTAATATATCTATGCCGTGTTTCTGTCTGCAGCTGAAGAATTGAAATGGTCCTCATGAACAATAATTAACTTACTATTAAAAAGATTCCACTTTGCCTTTTTTTGATTTGTTATTGAGAAACAGATCCTCTGCCAGATGTGTATATTCTGCGTTTCTATGCTTACTTACAGGCTCTCACTACAGGCTCTTTAAAGTCAAAGACATACGTGCGGAAGAAAAACACTTTCAGAATTTCCATTTAATGTAATTCAAAATTCAAAAAAACACTTCTTACTTCATTTGTTTGGCATATTTCTTTTTTTTTTTTTTTCTCTTTTTATAAATATTATCTTTCTCAACGCAGTAATTCCTAACATACTGCTAATTATTAAAAACATATATTACCACAGATCATACCTTTTGCAGCTTTTGTATCCACTTTCAGTAGAGTGATCAAGGTAGTAACCAGTACTGCAGGATTGCACACACCTTCCATCCTCCATAAAATAGCCCTGTGTGCAGTTTATACATGCATCTACTCCACCACCTTAAAACAGAGAGAATATACACTCTATTATTGGCTAGTTCCCCCTACCTACTGCCTAACAAACACCATATCTGTAGCTGTAGCAAAATCTTACTGCCATTTTAGAGACAATATTTAGCCTTACTTACCTTCTTTCAAAGAGTAACATCAAATTATAAAGGTGTACATTTATAAGAAACCATATTGCATAGTTTCACTATCTTTTTTCTGAAAGAAATAGGTGTTGGTAGTTCTGCAAGTGCCACAGAATTTACAAATCGTTGTTACAATCCAGAAAGAAAATGGAAGGCATTGCAGGAAATTAGAAAGAGCATTATAACAGGAAAAAAAAAAAAAAGAGCATTCACACTTTCAATTATATTCTTATATTAGCTGACAGACTTTGGCCATACATATAATATGTTAGATAACTATCAAAAGAATTCAGAGATTACATGTCAGCAGTCACATTATGATACAGTAAAATAATATAAGAGCTAAAAATAGAGAGTAAAGGAAATAACGCAAATAAATGTCAGTGAGATACCTGCACACGTTGCACATGAACGGTGACATGGTTCACATTCCCTGCCATTATGGTATTTTCCATCTTCACAGCGGATAGCACATTTTGTGCCATGCAAACTATTATAAAAAGGAACAAAAGCACAGTGGTCAGGTAGATAACAGCAACAACATACAAGCTCATTCACAAATTAGTATTTCCCTTTAAAAAAACAGCAACTCGTAGATCAGGATTCACTGGCTTCCTTCGTAGGTCATATTTTACAAATGACAGCAAATGACTTCAAGAGGGAATTAAATACATTTTCATCTATAGTGAAAAACAGGAGCTGTTTACAAACTATTGTAAATACTAGCAAGTAGGAGAGGACAGAAAAAAATGAACAATGTCATTATCCTAAAAATTCAGGCATGTAAAATACAATTACCCATGAGGAATTTGGCACAGGGTCAACACCACTGCATTTAAAAAAATACACAGGACCTCATGCTTCGTGTGAAAGACCAGCAGCATTTGCTGATACTGCTCTACAGCACAGGTCAAGAGCAGACTGACAAGGAAGGAAGCTGCCACCCTTTTCTGACACAGCAGTTTTCTTTGAAATCTCCAATTCTGCATGGTGTGGGAGATTTGTCTAGATTACAGCTAAAGGTATTCTGCCCGCAGGCACTTTTGAGCAGGAGCGTAAGGTACTGACTAACAGAGGAAAAAGGAATAGCATAAAGAGACATCTCCATACCTATGCTCTAAGCAGCGTTCATGCTTTCATTTTTAAATGCTGAAGTAAGGCTTTTTTTTTTTTTTTTTTTTTTTTTTTTTTTTAAAGTTAGGACTTCTCTGCCATGCCTACCATCTTAAATAGAATCTCAGCTTTCACCTGACTGAACTCTTTCTCAAAAAATGCTCTTCAGCTACAGGGATTATCGCATAAAGCGAGAGCTAATGCTGTTTTGCAAACTGAAACCAACAAAGTTTTGCATGCTCAGCACCACTGGAAATTCTGAAGAGTAGATACGGTCCCAGGTTAGCAAAAAAAAAAAAAGAAAAATTCAACAGATGTGAGAGTACCTACTTTTGCTCAGCAACAACCTCAAAGTGCTTTATGAGTCAGGTAGCATTATCATGTTTTTACAAATGGGAGTATTAGTCATTTGCTTGAGTTTAGTTAATAGGCCAGTAGCAGGATCAGAACTTGGATACAGGCCTCCCGAGTCCCACCCAAACTCCTGTCTACTGATCTAACAAGACAAGAAAATGCATTTTCTTGACAAGAAAATGCGCTAATCTTTGGATCACTAGGGAATGCAAAATGCATGTCCTGGAGATGATACTGATTTCTGATTTGTCATATCCATGCAGATGATGTTCCTTGAAAACATTACCAAAAACCAGTCTCAGCTGGCTAATATTATCCAAGTAAATGTTAGATATAAGTGACTTTTTAGACATTTGTTTCTCCTTCTTTTTCTCACAGATTACACTTGTCTTTCTCCTGTGGTCAGGTTCATGCTCCTGAGAAATACAGGAAATGTGGACATAGCTGTGACAGAGACTGTGTCCTATAAGGTCACAAATATGCAGTCTTGGGTATTCTGACATACATGCCAACTGTTGGAACTTCTGAACTGCTACCCTGTTAAATTGATTTCACAGACACATAGAAAGCCATGCTGAGTATGTTAAAATTCTCCAAATCTCTAACTGGGATTGAAAATTTAATTACATTATAAAAGGAAAGCAGATACTCATATTTCACAGAAACTGTAAACAGACCACATTCAATCCTATGCTTTCCTTCTCATTAGATCACACTTCCTCTTCAAAGGGTCTCTTTTCTTGTTTTTTAATTATTTTTTTTTTTTTAAAGAAAATATGTATTTGTAATAAAAACTGTGCAGGCACTTGAAAAATAGAAATGCAGTATATTGATATGAAAAATCCTTTACAAAACGTGAGAATCTAGTTCTTCATGTTCTGTAAACAAACACCTTTAAGCTTTTACTGTCTGAAATAAAAAATTCCACTTAGACAAAAAGTAAAAGCTCAATGTCAAAACATTTGCAGAACACTGTACTCTGAAAGAAGAACCCCTACAGTTACTGAATACCAAGTTGATATTTTTTATGGCATGAAGCCAGCATACACTCCTTCACAGACTTTTTGACCTTAGCTGCTTATATCAAAAAGGTCATTCATTCATAAAGGAGCCTGGAATACATACTGATGCTTTGTGGGCCTTACCTATCAGTTTCAGGAATGATTAAGTCCTCCTATGAAATAAAAATATCCACTGCTGCTTAAAATAATGTGCACACTGTATCATAACAGAAAGGAGCCTGAGGTACTTGAGATAAGTGAATGACTGATGTATGAAGAAACACAATAAAGATAAGAAAATAGTTCCTAACTATCACAGGAATGAATCAGAGATTAATATGACTCATCAGCTCAACCTCTAAAATAATCCTTGATTGCCACACTGGAGGTCAAAGAAGTGCAGAAGTCAGTTTTCCACATAAGTTTGGCTTTCTCTATACCTGAAATGAAAGGTCTTTTAAAAGCCCTTTGTTGGCCAAACTGGCACAATAAAATACTATATTAAAACCTAAACATCAATGGAAAACATGAAACGGTGGCAATTCAAGGTTGAATAGCTATCTAGTATTCTTCACTGTACATCCAGTCTCATTAGCCTCTTTGGGTACTGCTTTTAGAGACAGCTGTCTTTTCCTTACCTTAGCCCATGTTTGCATTCTGTGCAGATTTGGAATTCAATGCATGTCTTACAGTTTTCACTGCATTTTCGGCAAACAATCTTATCTACAAAGAAAAAAAGAAAACAGCCCAGAAAACCTTGGTCAGTTATATTTTATAAGACTGTCTGGAGATATTATTACGTGTCTTACAGTTTTCTAGCTTGAAACCAGAAAGACAGACGAAAATGTCTAAATTCTGTCATTAGGTTTTTCCTTCAGCAGATCTATCCATAAACACTATCTTCATCATATTATATCTGAAGCCTCTGCAGAAATATCATGTTCTGAGGTTGTTCAAAAATCTTTGAAGTGCTTTATATTTAAACTATTTACACTGGCTTTTCATACAGCAGGTCAAGCACTAATGGCTGCCATATGTTCCAGGAATTATCCTGCAATTTACTTTTTACACCTTACATGCAAATAGTCTGTCCTATCTTACATGTATTGCTGTTCAAAGAAACAATTTCAATCTTAACAAAGATGAGACATAATTTACCTAACATCTGCCTTCTCATCTCATGAGCTCCCTACTTCAAGAGAAGTCTCTGAGATGTGGTGCCATGTAACTCTCTGAGAAGAAAAACCTTGTGGTCCCATTTTCGTAAATTTTCATTTACACATCATGGTTGGGTGGAAGGGAAATCCCTTCACTGTAGTTCTCATACAGTGGCAAATGGAAAAATTAGAGTAGTACCTGAATTTACTAATCCTCAAAAATGAACAGACAGCTTCATGGCACAGAGAGTAAAAGGTTAGGTAGATCACTCCGAAAGTAATGCCTCCTATTTATTTCCATGGAAACTACAACAGATACAAAGAGCAAATAACACTATTTGATAGAGAAAATTCTCAGCTACAAAATAGTATTTTTCAACACAGTCTCTACCATTAGCTGATTCATACAGATGAGCTCGTCGAGATACTCTTCATTTCATGGCATGGATGCTTGGCTATCCAGAACGTCGCCTGTCTTTCACATTGCTGTTGCCACTGCTGAAATGCACCACCCACCACCTCACTGTGCTCACATCTACTGTTCGGTTTCTATAAACATTCAGCAAGTATCGATAAATGTCAGTTGGTGTAACTTTTTCTGCATGGAGAAATTAAATTCTACCCTTTTGCTTCATTCTCAGTTCTGTGTCAGATGCCATTTTGTCAGACTGCCCCTCTATTGCCATCTGTCTCACAACAACAAAATGTAATGGAATATTGGTGGGAATGTTCAGACTACCAACATCTTCTGCCTCTGACATTGTGGGTCAACATAACAGAAAAGGAGGCATTACTTTCGGAGCAACCCTCGCTCAGGTCTTGCAGTTGAATCAAGCGCTTTGAGCACGTCTGTATTTTAAGCATGTGTCTAAAGCTAACTGAAGTCCATGTAGTTTAAGCATGTGTTTTAATATATGTCCATTTTTGTTACACAAAGTTGGAAATAAAGTGGGCAATCTCAGGAGGAAATGGAAGCCCTGCATCTCATGTGGCAGAGAGTTACTGCTCTTGAGTTATCATCACAGGTCAGAAACCTGCCTGAAACATTAACTGCAACCACCTTTTCCACCTGAGGAGCCTAATTTTCTCAGAGATCCAGTTCAGCAACCATGGTCAGTTTCTCAGCTGCCTCTTCCACAGCATTCTCACAGCATGGGAGACTGGGGAATTGGAATGCTTCGTGCCCACAATCTGGACTTTCCCTTCTGGAGCGGCAGTAACCTGCTCTGTCCTGCAGCTGACTGCGGACTACATTCATTCTGCTAGTTACTCCCATTCACAACCACAAATGAAATCCTGCCTCTAAGCATGATTTTTAAAATGAAGAAAGGTTAATTTCTGAGTAGATTCTTGATCACACTTAGCAACAATGTAATAAGAGGAGTAGGATAAGAGATAGATGCATTCAACATACTTTTCCTGCTTATCAGTATTCCATCAGCCTCCCCAGATCAAATTCTGTAGCCCAAAATAAAGAAACAGTAAGTAATACTAACTCTTATCCAGGTAAAACCCATCGGGGCAGGTGGTAATACAGCTATTGGTTACTTCATTCAGGTAGTAGCCAGATTTACAGGTCATGCACTGGTCACTATGGCCTCCAACACAGGTTTCACAATTGGGTGAGCATTTTTTACAGCGTTTCTTGTCTGCATTGTAGTGACCAGGTGGGCAGGTCGAAACACAGATCCTGCAGACAGCAGGGAAGAGAAGGCAGAGTCGTTAATGAAATAACCTGCCACCACATTCCTGGACCATGACTGCAAAGCAGAAGTATTTCTCAGCATTGCTGCTTTTGTAATGATCATGTGTTTTCTAATGATCATGTAACCCTCCACAGCATTGCATCAGGCTGTTTCTGCTTTTTTTTTTTTTCCTACAGCACATGCTATCTCACTGGCAAACACCTCGACAGACAGTCACACTGTACAATTTTTGACCATCTACATCTTTTCCTATCTTATTCAAATACAGTCACTGAAGTTGTAGTTGCTATCACAGTTACACACAAATAACCTCTCACAAAAAAAATGAGGAAATAATCAGGGAAGTGTGTTTGAGTGCTGTACTTGAACTTCTGAAACAGTTGGGTATTTTTTAACTCCTAAGAAAATTTGTCAAAATTCGAGGAAAATAAATAATCCATGACTGCAGCAAAGAGAAGAGAAAAGGAAGTTAAGATACACACTAAGGAATCTATGAAGCAAAGATTTTTTTAAATTTTGGTCTTACCGTGTGTTGTTCTTGGATTTGTAGTAGTAGTGAAGACAGTCAGTACAATGATCTGGTCCTGGCCCATCACACCCTACTTTACTGCATTCTGCATTGCATGGACCTGTATGAAAAGCAAAATACAGGAAAGGAATTAAAACTTCTCCTTTGGTACTTAGCACCCTTCAAAATATACTGTTTTAACACAGAATACAATTACTGTGTTTTTGTGTATTTGAGCTTATGTCCAAACTGTAATTTGACCACAGTGAAAGGAGAAATTTTTTAATATTTGAAGATCTTTGCAGACTCTGGCCTCAGTATGTGTTCATACTGATACATAATTTTTAACAGCCATGGCATCTTCTGTGTAATCTATCAGATACTATTTCTGAATCCAAGCAGCCTACTTTCTAAGGACTAACAAATCAATCTAAATTTTATCTAGAAACAGGCAAAGGCTTCTGAAATTCATAATATGAAATGATCAGCAATGCTGCTTATCACAAGCAGGCCAACATAATCAGCTATTCTAGTCAACAAAGGGGCAGGTGGTCCGAGTGGGTACCACAGCAGAAGTGATCCAACCCCCAGTGGCCAGACTCACCTCCCTCTGTGCTGCTATATGCTGCAAAAGCCTCGACTAACTTTTGCTTATTAGCAAGTCCTTCATCTCATCCAGAGTCATGTTTACATTTTCCAAACAGTTCCAAGCAGCTAGGGAATGAGAGAGCCATCATTTCCTGCCTTTATGTAGGGTACAAGTATATGTGTGAACTCTCAACTGTGTCAGGATCATTGCTCCATAGTAAATGAAACTTCTAAGCTTTCCAGGCACCTTTACATGGCTCTTAATATCAAGTAAACTTGAACGAAAGCAAGTTCATACAACAGAAGCTTAGTGACCTTTACAGCAGAGACAGCAGTGTTTTGTCATCTATCAAAACAAGGGGTTGAACAATTCTCCAGCAAAAATAGGGACTGCGTGTCTGACACACTATGACAGGAGAGTGTAATAACAAACTTCTGAATTGAACACTGTGCTGTTAGCTTGCAGGAGTTATGCTTAAGCTTCATCAGCACTGAACACCTGGTAAAGGTACTGACACTGTCAGAATACATGTAGGAATACTGCCAGCTTGACTTATTCTGCAGCACAAAAAATCTAACGCTTTTGAAGCCTAATGAAAACACTGAAAAACTTCTATGGGGATAAACAAGAAACAACGTACGTAGATGTAGAAAATAATATTCTTCACGTATATGTTTGTGCACACATATATTAAATATTTATGAAAAGTAGTGCATTCTATACAGAATGTTAACCATAGCTTAAAAATACGAAACTGTCTAAAAACTCATATGTTATGAAACAAATTGTTCTGAACTCCCACTACTTCCAAACCTAGAATATCCTTATGAAACTGTTTTTGCAAAGTCATTCTGTCAACACTGTGTTCTAGCTTCAGTACGTTGATTTTTCCACTTAAAAATATCATGAATCCTGCATAATTGTTATCAGTTTTGCCGCTGCACTTCTAACTAATCAGATGAAATATAAATACAACCTTACTGTTCTAGTCAGAGGAAATTAATGAAAAGCTCAGTTTATTAAACATATTTCTGTTTGGCTATTTTTGTTTTTGTTTCTGGAAACTTTCAGTACCGCCAAATTTCCAGGCACTGAAGGCCACAAATCCTACAGTGGCATCAGAGTCCTAGTCTTGAACTAATGCAAAAGATCTAGGAGACACAAAACATGGAAGAAAACAGATACTAAGTAAGCAAGCCAGAAGTCTTCACAATGTATGACCATATTTTGACAATACAAAGTCCAACATTTTATATATGCAGAGTCTTAGGGCAGTAAATGCACGGACTAAATTAATGTACACACCTGAATAATCTTCTGTTCCATAATCTTCTGTAGGATCTTCAACTGGACTGGAGCGTACTCTTTCCACTTTTGGAAAATCATTTCTTGGTGAATATGGCTGGATGGATGTTCCATATAGTACTAAGGACCACTCTTTCAATTTGCCTAAAAGTATTAAAAATCTAGTTTTATACATCATTTCATATTTTCTCTGTCTTAAAAAATATATCACTGTGAACAGGAACTCTAAGTAGGCATGAAAGACTTTGCTTAGTTTAATATTGAAAGTACAATCTGTGTTGCACTGTAAACTGAGAAAGCATAATTTTTTCAACCAGATTTTACACAGTATTTTTTGCACTCCCTCCTCTTGTAAGTCTAATTAAAGTCTGTACGGGGGAACTCCATATAAACCATAAACAAAAACCTTAGGCCATATAGTTATTTGGAAAACTTATACTGATATTCATCAAGGAGCTTTTACTATAGATTTTGCTTTTCCTCAGAAAATGAATCGTCCAGTTATTATTATATCTCTCAACTAACTAGCTGTATTCAGAATTCTGACTTCAGAACAGGGTTATATTTTGTCAATTATTACTCATGAGTACATTTCATAGCTTTATGGAATACATCTCAATGAAGAGGAAACAAACGCTTTTAAAGTGTCTATAGTAGAATATCAATGTGCCTTTCCTTCTTATTTTTTTTGGCCTAGTTATTTTACAGATACGTCACTTCACTGTCTGACCAATATTTTATGCTCTCAGTATCTAAGTGATAGAAGAAAATAAGTGTTTCTCAGCCTGAAGTATTGAAGTACTATTATGTAAGTTCTGTGTTGTGTTTTTTTTCAAGTCGTGAGTCCAAGCTGTCAAAATGTAAATATTCAAACTTCGCCTCCCTGTCCACACTCACCACTAAATTAATTCCACAAAAAGTGCAAAAGACTCAGGTCTAAAATAACATTTCAAGCAGTGACGGACAAAAAATTATATCCTGGCTTGAAAACATGGTAATTAGGTTTGGTCTTAACATAGCCTCTCGATTACATTTACCTATGTTGAAGCAGCAGGTTGTCAAATGTACAGTTCTTCTTTACATCTGTTCTGTTTACAGCTCTTCTTAATAGCCAGATCAGTTATCCTCTGGGCTTTTTATGCCCTGATCTGGAAGTCTGGGACGCTGCTCAGAATACGCCCCCAGCGATTCAGGTGCAGACAGTCAGAGAGCTCCTCCTCTGTCTGGACTGTGACAAGTCCATGGGACTGGATGGGCTGCACCCTCGGGTGCTGAGGGAGCTGGCAGGAGTGATTGCTGAGCCCCTCTCAGCCATCTGTCAGCATTTCTGGTTAACTGGTGAGGTCCCAGAGGATTGGAGGCTTGCTGATGTGACTCCCATCTTCAAGAAGGGCCATACGGAGGATCCGGGGAACTACAGGCCTGTTAGCCTGACCTCAGTACCAGGGAAGGTTATGGAGCAAATCATCTTGGGTGAGATTGCACAGCATGTACGCAGTGTCCAGGGGATCAGGCCCAGCCAGCATGGGTTCGTGAAAGGCAGGTGGTGCTTGACCAACCTCATCTCCTTCCCTGACTGGGTGACCAGTCTGCCAGATGAGGGAAGGGCTGTTGATGTAGTCTTCCTAGACTTCAGCAAAGCCTTTGACACGGTCCCTCACAGGCTTCTTCTGGGGAAACTGGCTGCCTGTGGTCTGAACAGGTCTACCCTTCTTTGGGTAAGGAACTGGCTAGAGGGCCGTGCCCAGCGGGTTGTGGTGAATGGAGTCAAGTCCAGCTGGCGACCCATTTCAGGTGGTGTCCCCCAGGGGTTGGTACTGGGGCTCATCTTGTTTAATGTCTTTACTGATGACCTAGATGAGGGCATTGAGTGCACCCTCAGTAACTTTGCAGATGACACCAAGCTGGGAGGTGGTGTCGATCTGCCTGAGGATAGGGTGGCCCTTCAGAGGGATTTAGGCAGGCTGGACCGCTGGGCTGAGGTGAATGGGATGAGGTTCAACAAGGTCAAGTGCCAGGTCCTGCACTTTGGGCACAACAACCCCATGCAGCGTTACAGGCTGGGGGATGAGTGGCTGGATGACTGTGAAGAGGAAAGGGACCTGCGGGTGTTCGTTGATGCTCGGCTGAACATGAGCTGACAGTGTGCCCAGGTGGCCAAGAGGGCCAACCGCATCCTGGCCTGCATTAGAAACAGTGTGGCCAGCAGGAGCAGGGAGGTGATCATCACCCTCTACTCAGCACTGGTGAGGCCGCACCTCGAGTACTGTGTTCAGTTTTGGGCTCCTCACTACAGGAAAGATGTTGAGGTCCTGGAGCGTGTCCAGAGAAGGGCAACAAAACTGGTGAGGGGTCTGGAGAAAAAGTCTTATGAGGAGCGGCTGAGGGAGCTGGGATTGTTCAGTGTGGAGAAGAGGAGGCTCAGGGGAGACCTCACTGCACTCTACAACTTCCTGAAGGGAGGTTGTGGTGAAGAGGGATTTGGCCTCTTCTCCCATGCAACGAGCAGGACACGGGGAAATGGCCACAAGTTGTATCAGAGGAGGTTTAGATTGGACATAAGGAAGAACCTTTTCTCTCAGAGAGTGGTCAGGCACTGGAATGGCTGCCCAGGGAGGTGGTGGAGTCGCCATCCCTGGCAGAGTTCAAGAGGTGCCTGGATGATGTCCTGCGTGATGTGGTTTAGTGCTTGTGGTGGCAATGGTGATGAGGAGACGGTTGGACTGGATGATCTTATAGGTCGTTTCCAACCTTGTGATTCTATGATTCTCATCAGAAGATTAAAGAGAAAAAGAGGGTGCATTTTTTCTGAATTTGAAAGATTCTATTTTGGGATGCCATCATGAGGCCTCCCCTCAGCCTGCTCTTCTCTCAGCTGAGCAAATGAAGAGACCACAGCTGCTCCTCACACATTCTGCCTTCCAGACCATTCACCATCTTTGCAGCTCTCCTTTGGATGCTCTCTCATAGCTTTATGTCCTTCTGTTGTGGCACCCAGTGCTGTAGTTGAGACTGCACAGCACAGCGAGCCCCTCCCCTCGCCCGCTGGCAGTGCAGGGCCTGCTGCACCCCAGGTACGGTTGCCCTTTGGGCTGCCAGGGCACACTGCTGGCTCATGTTCCTCTTGCTGTCACCACAGCTCCCAGATCCCCATTCCACAGGGCTGCTCTCCAGCCTCTTTTCCCTCACTCTGTGCATATATCCAGAATTGACAAATTCCAGGTGCAAAATCTGGCACCTGCTCTTGTTAAACTTCATCTGATGGGTAACTGTCCAGCTCTGTAAGTCTCGCTAAGCTGAGGAATCTCCTATTGCCAAAGAATGATCACTATCTGACAGATACTAACACAGCTCTCTTAAATGATTTGTCTTGGAGTGAATATAGCATCACCATGTATGCTCTCTGTCCTTTCTGCATTTTAACTCACTTTCACAGCACACTGATTATAATATATTGAAAGCAGCTGAAAACTGTTTGCGTTGCTTTGTTACTCTAAATTTTTTCTCCTTGCCTTTACTGTGCTCCAATGATCACTAAAGTTTCAAAGTGTTGATTTTATATGTCTTCCAGAACACTGGTAAAAGTACTGAATACTACAAAAAAATATTTGCAAGGACCCACTAAAAATAACCACAGGCACTGATGCTTCTTGGGCACAGAATATTGTTGTGTCCAGACTTACTGGAAGGGTTTGTACTAACATACTGGCAGTAAGGTTTGGGGCTTTGACCTCATACCTAATGCAAAAGAGCAGCAAGAGGAATAATGTAGGGTCTGTCAAGAGATTAGCTGCCTTTTAAGAACTATTCTGTAAATAAAGAAGGAAAAAATTCATGTGACTTGCCAGCAAATAAATGAAGCCCGCCTCAAGGCAGGTTTAATTTGTACAATGAAAATATTTCAATAAACAATTATATGTACATATACTCTCTTTAATAATGAATAGACAAAGTGCGCATGTTTATGCCAAAATCTTTCTTTTCCCATTTTTGGCTGCTTCCATCATTTTGTTTGGCTGTAATAATCCCTTACCCTGCTTGTATTTAGTACATAGCAGAGGTCCCATGTTATATGTGCAAAAGAAAGGGTATAGCACAGTGTTTCACAGAAAGCACAAGTCAGTTTCCATAAATTCTACAGAATTAATTGCAGAAGTCACATGCACTGCTTTATGAACTGGACCCTGCCATTCTTTACAGGCAACAGATGTGGCACTGCCTTGCCAGGGCAGGGATATGATGGCATGTTGGGTTTTTGTTCTCAATTTGATTACAGGAAAACTTCAGCTCTTAATTATAAGACCTTTCAATACTTAAACAAACACATGCACACAAAGAAACAAGCATGATGGCGATATCAGCTTGATGAACTGCAGGCTACACAGGCACCATAAATTGCATGGAAGTACCTTCTGTTCACATCCTGTTCAGTGTACAGACTAACTCTAACCTGACTAAACAGCTGAATATATGGCATCCACTTTCACAACTTTCTGAACTGATGTGTTACTAGACAAATTTCACTGAGAGGTAAGAATAAGTCTAGAAAGCTGAGGGATGTATTACTAAATACTATTCAATGAACCAGGATTAAAACTCACCACCAGACCACAGCCTGTGAAATCTAAATGCATATAAACACCTAAGATCCAAAGAAGTGATTTATATTGTGATAAGAAGAAACTAAAGAGTATCCCGTATGAATCCTTGAGCATATGAGCTTTCTTCCTCAGCTCAGCTGAGGAGGTTTACTTTTCTCCACATCTTCTCTTCTTCCAGAGGCTGACGCAAAAAATTATCAGCTCCATATAACTAGCCACCATACAACTGAGAAAATTATATACAAAGAATAGAAATGAACCGATTATTAAGACCTATACAGTGAATCATATGAAAGAGAAGCATGTAGGAATAGTATAAAGCTGGAAATGTATGTGGTGATTTGGTGACATAAAAGGGCTATGAAGGATATCTGGTGGATAGCCCAGATGAAGAGTTTTCAAAAGGCTCTGTTCTAGGTTTCGGTGTAGGGAGCATGCCAGGGCACAGAAAAGAGGGCAACAGCTGAAGTGTGTTGCTCTTTGGCTCTCCTTCATGCCTACTGGATGAGCCACTGGGTTCCGCCGTTGCATAAATGTCTATCC